CATGCTTTCTCTTTCTACTTGGTAAGGCCGTTTTTATTCTGTCTTCCCTTAGGCCTTAGATATGTAAGTCATGGCTTGTTTTAATGGATATTCTCTGGTCCCAGGTCTTTCCAGCACAGCAGCTGTGTTCCAGCTGCATGTTCCAGCATGAGGCATGTTCCAGCATGAGGCTGGAAGCCTTCTCTATGGATTCCATATTTTATTCAGCACAAACTTTACTAAGTGCTTGCTATGTGCAAGATGTGGGTATATATTTCATTGACACTGATTTAAAGGCACCTAAAATCTTGAAGCTTCAGTGGGTTAGGCTGGGGGACTGGGGCTGGTAAAGAAGTTGATCTTTTGGAACTTTATACACTTATTAATTACACTCTAATTTGTGTTACTTTTGGCTCTGTTTATGTCTCATTTCTACTCGCTAGACTCTAAACCCTTTGAAGGTAAGGATTTTGTCTTGCTCTGTTATCTAACAGCACCTAGTACAGTTCATTGCACAGATGTGTCAGTCAATCAATAAACATTTGTTAAGTTCTTTGCTATGTGCTAAGCACTATGCCAAGCACTAGGGATACAAAGAAAGGCAAAAAAATACTTCCCACTCACAAGGAAATTATAGGCAAATGGGGAGACAAAATGCCAACAACCATATGAATTATAGATTATTATTTCATATGAGATCACTGTAAAGCATTTAACCCGGTGCTTGGCACATAGTAAGTGTTATATAAATGTTAACTATTATTAGTATTATTAATAGGAAAAACTGGAAATAACCAACAGAGGGAAGATGCTAGAATTAAGAGGGATTGGGAGAGAGTTCTTGTAGAAGGGCGGATTTTAGCCAAGACTTAAAGAAATCTAGGAGAACCAGGAGGCGGAGATGAGTGAGAACATTCCAGGTAGGGGGACAGGCCCAAAGTAAGGAGATGGAGTGTCTTGTTTGAGGAATAGCAAGAGATCATTGTCATTGGATTGCAGAGTATATGACAGGATGGAAAGTGTGAGAAGACTGGGAAGGTTGGAGGACAGAGCAGGTTTTGAAGGGCTTTGACTGCCAAACAGATGATTTTGTTTTTTATCCTGAAGGTTGTAGGAAGCCACTGGACTTTATTGGGGTGGAGGGGGGGGGGGGGGGGATGTGATATTTTCAGAACTCCACTTTAGAAAGATCACTTTGGCAGCTGAGTGGAGGGTGGACGGGAGTGAGGAGTGCTTAATGATAAGGGAGGACAGCATCCTTACTTAGTATGTCTTCTTTCCTGCTTTCCACCAGTTGGTAATTGCTACCATAGTCCTTGGCACAGTGTATCATACCTAGTGGGGAGGAGGATTTTAGGGGTAGATGTAGCTAGGACATTTCAAGCCTGACTGAATTCAGTTTTGGAGAAGGAAGGGGACTTCAACAAGAAAGCAGCATGGGCAAAAAGACAGGGATAGGAAAGTGCAGGTAAGATCAGGGAATAGAAAGTTCAGTTTGGCTTAATCTTAAAGTATGTAGAGGGTATGAAGGAAGTTTTATTTTTCATTGTTTTGGCATTGAGGAACCACTGAAGACTTTTGAGTAAAGGAGTAGTGTGTTTGGAAAATGATTTGGGCATCTGGGTGAGAAGTGGTTAGAGAAGGGATAGGTTGAAGGGAGGAAGACCAGTCAGTAGGCTATTCTAGTAAACTGGATGAGAAAAGATGAGGTTCTGAAGTAGCAGCAGAAAGAATGCTGTGTTGGAAAGAATTAACTCAGTAGAGTTTGTCAACTGATGTGGGAGATAGAGCAGGAGAATTCAAAGATGACTCTAAGGTTGGAACCCAGATGCCTAGAAGATGGTAGTGCTTTGAACAGAGATAAAGAATTTAAGGGACGGGTTTTGGGGAGACTTCACTAGGAGTTCAGTTTTGTGCGACATACCTGTGGTATATCCAGATGGAGATATCCTACACTCCTGAAACAATTTGGGAAAATTATTATTATGATTCTGCCATTTTCACAGAAGTGATGGTTTCACAGGATTTAAGAGAAAACAAGTTTGGCTTGGTTCCCCCAAAGGACAAGACATTTCATAAGATTGTTACTCATTTTGTACTCATTGTTTTTAGGCATTCCCTGAAATCTTTGTTTTATCCCATTAAAGCCTTGCTGAGGAGAATTAAGAGACAGATCTTTACTACAGGAAATATGTCTATCCAGCAAATATGCATATTAAAAGCAGTAAAACCAAAATACTATCATCTTGTCCAAATTTGTTACTAAATACCAGCAACTTATGGAAATTATATTCTATGTAGATACCTGAGTTGAGCTAATGCATTTCTTCCAATTGACACTAGATAAAATAGTTGTCTTCTCCAATATATATATTTTCTTCATTACATACTTTTCATTTTACCTGGGCACTTTTCAACTGATCATTTGCCTTACATCCATTGGAAACTTTTGTAGATGGGCAAAATTTCCAAAAGAAAAAGTTCATCCTCACCTAAGATGTATTTCGTGGCATAAACTAATTTGAATTGACTTGTTTTCTGCCTTCTACAAGCTGCTTATACACTTCAAGGATCTTTGGGTCCGTGAGTGGGAACCTAAAAATCATTAAGTATGTCAGCTTCTTTCAAGGTCACGGAGCCCAAATCAGACTGTGAGTCAAGGCTGTGATTCTTACATCCATGCACTAGAGCCACTCTCATTTCTATCCAGTTTTAGGGTTTACAAAGCACTTCTTCCCCTCACAACAACCCTGTGAATAGGAGACAGAAGCAACTTAAGAAAACGTCATTCCTGAAGCTCAGCATATATCACAGCTCTAACCTTTCCAGAGACTCCCCATGGGCCACATCACCAAAACAAAGCAAGCCCTTAGGACCAGAGTTGCCAATCAGCCCATACTGAATCAGCCTGACCTGTATGTTATTACACAAATTGGTTTCTTCTTACTGATGTGTTACATAATGGCTGGGTTTTATTGTTTTAATTTTGCAATCATACTTGGAAGTAGGAGGGGAACACTCCTGGAGAAATGTTACTCTCAATAAATGCTGATGACCTGGATGGCCATTGGTGAAAGAAGTTGCCTTTGTTTCCTAGTTCACTGGGTTGTTATGAGGGGCTTTGTGCTTTGTAAACCCTAAAGCCGATAACAGGAAGTCTGTGAATTTAGATGACTTGAAGAACAGTGGTCCCTTGGCAGAAATAGAAAAGCTGGGAAAAGGAATAGGTTTGGGGGGGAAACAGTACATTCTGCTTTGGATGTGTCGAATGTTATCTACCGGTGAAACATCCAGGTTGAAATATCCACTAGGAAGTTAGTGAAGCAGGACCCTCTCTTAGGTGAGAAACTGGGCCTGGAAATGTAGCTCTGGGAGTTACCTGGAAAGAGACAATCATTAAAAGCATGTGAGCTAAGGAGAGCACCTGGTGAGAGTGGAGAGGGAACAGGAGAAGGAAGAAGTGGAGATAACAGTCATAACAGGTTTGTCTTTGGAGCTTGGCAGAGAAGGGGAGCAGATTATGACTGCTCAGTCATTTAATAAATGGCCTTAAGAGTAGCTATAGCTAAAAAATTCAACATTGTGGCCAACCAATGCAGCTTAACTTAAGTTGGTCCTCAGACAATAGATTATCCATCACCCAGTCCATTTGTTGTTGTTATTGTTCACTCATGGCCTGACCCTATGGACCATAATGTCCATGGGATTTTCTTGGCAAAGATACTAGAGCGGTTTGCCGTGTCACTCCCTCCTTGATAAACTCTGGTTTCCTACTGCCTTCAAGATCTTAAAGGCTTAAAACTGCTCCAAGACTTTTGGAATCCTGTATAACCTCAGTTTGGCTTTTAAAACCCTTCATAGTCTAACCCCAATCTCTGTTTCTGGCTTTGTTATGTATCACTCTCCTCTGTGCACCCTGTGGTCTAGTTACATTGGTCATTTTGCTGTTCCTAATATGTGACTCTGCCCTCATGCTTGAAATATGCTCCACCCTCACCTTTGCTGCTTAGAATCCTTTATTTTCCTCAAAACTTATTCAAAAGCCACCTCCCTACTGCTCGAGGTCTTTCTTGATCTTCCCTTGCCTCATTGCCTTGTCTTTATTTTGTATAAACTTCTACTTGTCTCCCCCTTTGCAGTGTAAGCTCCTTCAAAGCAGAGACCCGGTGCCTGGCACAGCGTTTGGCATATAGCTGGCACTGAACAGATGGTAACTGATTGATCAGTGGATAGGTCACAGACTTCTGAAGTGCTTATGCTGTTATCGGTGTCTGTCTTGTCTGACTATACTGCTCATCTCTTTTTAAAATAAACAGAAGTAAGCCTTTTGAGAGTAGAGAGCACATGCAGCCTGAATTGTGCAATGTGCCAGTGAGCCACCACATAAAGCAAGCCCATACCAGGCCCTCAGATCAGGAGCACACAATGGTAGGGCACAGACTAGTTGCTAGGATTTTATCAGGAGAATAGATTTAGAGCTGGAAAAGACCTCAGAGGTCATATAGTCCAGTGGCCCTTTTCTTTTTACAGATGAGGAAATTGATATCTTGAATACATTAAGTGCCTTGTCTAAAGTCACACTACTATTAAGGGGCAGAGCTAGACTTTTAACCTGGGTCTTTACTCAAAAGATCACCTGATCATTGCTTCTTAGGTTTTTTTCCTCCAACTTAGGGTAAAAAAATACGTGTGTGTGTGTGTGTAAACACACGTATATACATACATATATACATATGTGTATATGTATACACACATATATGCACATGTATTTAGTGATACAGATGGACTTTGTGTTAACACATTTGGATTCACAATGCCCAGGCAGTTATCACATGGTCTCATCATTGCTCAAGGCCTTCTAGCCATCTCAGAGCTGGTAAATTTTGGAGAAGTGGGATGGAGTTAGCCAATGGTTTCAGCCACTGACCACATTCTCTTGTGAAATGGTTTCATCCTGTTCATAGTTTCTCAAGGGCCATATGTTTTAGACATTTAAAACAGTCTTCCTTATGTAAATCACTTTCATATTGTGGAAGCATAGTCTTCTAAGTGGTTCCTTTAATTTATATCCTTCTCAGCTGTAGTGTTGTGTTGAGCAGTAAGTCATTTTTTTTTGTTTTTCCTTTTTTTGGCTTCTCAGCACTAGTAAAATTGAATGGTCAGAGGTTATCAAATAAATGAAAAATTATTACTGTTAGTTGGGAGTTTGGGTATGTGTGCTGGAAGGTATGGTGGTGGGAGAGGGTGCTGATTACCCCTGGTAAGAATGAATTTAGGTATGTCCTTTTTGTCTCTTTCTGTTTTTTTTTTTTTCTGTTTTGCCAATTTCTTGACTCTTCTTTTGATAACTGCTGTCGTTTCCTTATTATTTAGATCTGATTAAAAATCACTGATACTTGAAAGACATTGGTAGTAATTACCCCAAAGCGTTTTGGGGCCATTCTGTGTCTATTGGATAGAGGGCTGGGCCTGGAGTTAGGAACTCCTGGGTTCAAAGCTAGGCTTGGACACTTGCTAGCTATGTGATTCTGGATAAGTCATTTAACGTCTGTTTGCCTCAGTTTCCTTAACTGTAAAATAAGAGTAATAATAACACTTACCTCCCAAAGTGGTTGTGAGGATGAAATAGAATAATATTTGTAAAGTGTTTAGCATAGTGCCTGGCACATAGGCACTATGTAAATGCTAGCCATTATTATTATTATTATTATTATTATTATTAGCTGTTTTGTGTATAAGTACATTTTATTTTCTCAGTGAAATCACATATATGTCATAAGTCCCTCATCCTGTAGAAATAATAACATATTTATATACTCTATATATTGTGTTGTTTTAAGGTACCTAAAGTACTCAGACATGTAGTAAATATTTAATGACTACATAGAAGGGGATGTAGGCAGTAGTTGAAAAGTGAGAAGCGTGTAAGAGATTGCTTCAGCTTGAAAACTGGAATCTCCTCCTGAGGTAGACAAACATTTCATTGGATCCAGGCCCAATGGAGCCCATAGTCCATTTTAATCTGTTCCTTGTGATGTAACGAATGTTCTCCAAGTGTAGTCTTTTATAGTAAGTACAGGCTTATTTTTGTATTTGTGTCCTTAGCACTGCCAACCCAGTGTGTGGTATGTAATAGGTACCCAATATGGGAACATAGAACAAGACACATAGATTAGAGCTGCAAAAGTCCTTAGAGATCATATGGTCCAGGGGTCTTAACTTTTTTGTGTCGTGGGCCCTTTGGGCCAAATGGTGAGGTCCATGGAAGTCTTCCGAGAAGAATATTTTCAGATTCATAGAATAAAATACATAGGATTACAAAGGAAACTAATTATATTAAAATATAGTTATCAAAACATAAAAAAAATCATGGACCTCGGAATACCTGATGTCCGAGCCCCATATTTTACAGATGGGGAAATTTGGATCCAGAGAAGTTAATAGACTTCCCAAGGTTGCATAGGTGGTAAGAAACAGGGTTAGAACTTGAACCTGAGTCTTCTGACTTCAGATCTTGTTGTTCTTCCCATCATACCATGCTTCCTCTTCTTAGAAATGTAGATTGATTGATTGATTGATTGCTTTGGTTACCAACTTAGTGTTTTAAAAAAAAAAAATTGGGGCTGATAAAGTACAACTCTGAGGCTGTTTGTCATAAGGATTGTATTGTTTTTGTATGTACTTCTCAAATACAGATCTATGAATAAAGAATGGCAACAGCTACTGGTGAGGCCTGTTGTTCCCCAGGCTCCAGACTCTCCAAGTTGCAGTTTGCTCCTTTCAGTAGTGCCTTGGATGCTGGATTCTGGCATGAACTGACCCAAAAGAAGCTGAATGAGTATCGCCTGGATGAGGCCCCAAAGGATATTAAGGGTTATTATTATAATGGTAGGCTATCCTAGACTTCTTTATCATGGCTTGCTTTACTCCAAGTGTATAGTTAAATTTTGTTTATGTTTGAGTCAACTTTCTAGCGTATGAATCATCAACGTGATGAATGACCCTCAGTTTCTCTTCTTGTGCCCCGTTTTTTTAATAAAACTCATTTTCATCTCTCCCCCATAATACAAAGGAGAAGTAAAAACAAAACCTAAGACATTTGCGTTTTTGTTAAAGGTGGAGAAGAGATTGACTGAGATGAGGTGTGTGGTTTTTGTACTACCTTCTCAGTCCTTGTTATGAGGGACCAGGGCTTAACAACGGAGTCCTGACTCCCTGAAGAAGTGGTAGGTGGAGGGAAGAGGCATTTATGTAGTACCTACCACGTGCCAGGCACTGGGCTAGGCATTTCACCAATATTATCTCATTTGAAAAAAGAGCAGGCTTGCCCGCAAGCTCACTCGTATGAGTGCCCATTTACTGATTTGCTCATGTTTCTGTCCAGGTGATTCGGCTGGCCTGCCAGCACGTTTGACTTTGGAGTTCAGTGCTTTTGATACGTGAGTATGTGATCAGGATCTGAACTAAGGAATATGGTTTGCCTTTAATGATATGAAGTCTGTCTTTATGGGAGGTATGCCACATAGGGAAGTAGTTAGCACCTTGTAGTCTGGAACCATGGGACTTTACACTTGTCCACTCCAGGAAATCTCAAAGAGGCTAAGGCACTTGAGAAGTGCTCAATCAACATGCATTTAATTAAAACTCGGACTTTCCTCCCAGTTTGCTTTCAGCCTGATGTTGGGCCTTTGCACTTGTACTCTAATTGGCTTTTTCTGCTGTAAACAACCATCATTAAAAATTGATTGAGCATCAACTGTGTGCTAGACCCTGGGATGGGTGCAGAAATATTGGAAATACTGGTTTCTGCCCTCCTGGAAATTGTTGTTTAGCTGGGGAGATAGGGCTCAGAGAAAAAGTTTAATAGCATTTTAAAATAATAGCATAAGAAATGTCACCCAGCAAGACATAACCAATAAGAATTACGAATTCCAGAGGGGTGGGGGAGGAATCACTCTGGGCTGGGAGGGTTAAGGAAGGCTCCACAGAGGAGAAGGGGCTTGCCCCAGACTGTGAAGGAGGTACGGGAGCTGTAGAGGCAGGGGGGAGGAGAGGGAAGGCATCTCAGACAAGAAACAACTTTAGCCTTAGCACAAAGATAGTCTAGGCCAAGGTAGGGTCAGCAAGCCAATCCAGATGGGTTCAGGTGAAGGAGTAGAAGAAAAAGGGCATCAAATGCCAAGGAAAAAAGTTGGGCGGGGGAACTCCATTGAAAAGTGTTGAGTTGTGATGTTGTGATGTGAAAAGTTGTGGTGAAAGTGGGATCTTAGGAAGATTTTTGCGATAGTGGTACGAAGGATGAATTGGAGAAGAGAGAGAATAAGAACCAATTTGTTTTCCTCACAATGGCTTTATGAGGTCAATAGTACAGGTATTATTATGCCTGTTTTATTGATGAGGAGAATCTTAGAGGGGAAAGAAAGACACTTTCTGAACATCACAGAGCAGCAAATGACCTGACCAGGATTTAAATCCACATCTCCTGGATCTATATCTAGTGCCCTTTCCATCAGCTTCCCTTTGAGGCTGACATTGAGTGAAGCCATTACTCCCGGCCAGTGGTGAGGGAAGAGTTTGAAAGGGTTTGTGATTATGGGGAGGAGCCAGTGACTTTGGAAAGTTTCAAGCCTGATATGAATGGTATTATTATGAGCAGAAATGGGAAATTTAAGGGGCAAAGACAGATTTGGGAGCAAGATGAGAAATTTTTAGACAAATTTAGTTGGGAGGTGATATCCAGGTAGAAATGCCCCACAAGCGGCTGGAGATGTGAGGCTTTAGACTGGGAGGAAGTTGAGGGCTATAAATGCAGTTTTTAGGAATTATCTGTGTAGAGGCTAAAGGTGAGGGTTGAGGCCATGATAATGAAGTAGATTAGTTAGGTCTCTGAGGAACATCATAAAGCAGGAAGAGCAGAGAGTCAGGGGCTAAACCTCATGGAATGTTCATGGTTGTTGAAGGGGACGGAGAAGGAGAAGGGGAACCGGGGAGGATCAGTCAAAGTCAGGAGGAGAACCAGCCCAGCCTGGTGTTACGGGAGCTCAAGAAGTAAAAGGGTCTTAAGGGCAAGATGGGCACCAGTGTGATACTGTGTAGCCATGGCAAGTAGGAAGAGAGATGACAAAAGGCATGGAAAGTTATGGTACCTGCCCTTTGAGAGTGTGGGGGTTATTGGAATGGGTGTCAGTGGAAGCTAGATTGTCACAGGTTTAGGAGAGAGAATAGATGGGGAAGAAGTAGAGGCAACAGGTTTGGACCATTTAAGAAGTTTAATTTAAGGATTTAACTTTCCACCAGTGACTGGAGGGATGTTTTTCACTATGTTTTTTAGTATCTGAGCATTCTTGCCTAATGAGTTTGTTGGGAGATGTATGTGGTTAGAGACTGTTGAGGAACATCTGATTGACCCTAGCAACTAATAAATAATTTTTTGAACATAGGTCTTCAGTTAGGGAGTTTCAAAGGAAATCTCCACTTTTTTTTTTTTTTTGCCTCTCTAAAAATCACAAGTTTTATTCTTTTTTTCCCAATAAAGTTGCACAATTTAGTAACTAAATTTAGTAAACTTAATTAAGGGAGTATTTGTCATAAGTATCTTTAAGGGTATGTTTGTATCCTTTGTTGCCTTCCAGGATCTCCAGAGCTTCTTGTTCTATTATTAATTTCTTGTGATATCTTGCCAAAATTAAATTAAGTTCTAATGCTTTCTTCTTCATCAAGCAAGGATTCATTATTAATTTATTTTTGTAATAATTAAGATACAGTGAGGAACAGCCTACAGATTTGTAAGTAGGAATATACTGTCATTAAATAATGAGCAGAGTGCAGAACTTGAAGCATAATAGACACTTATCTAAATTAAATCTAGTCTAGCTCTTTTCATTTAGAAGCTGGTCTTGAAGTTTGTTTATTTGTTTTAATTCCACTATGTCAGAAGCTTATTTTCTTTCATAACTTGTCAAAATTTCTTTACTGTTGAGCAATGTTTTAGAAAAGAGTAGGTCAAAAAAGTTTGTTAGAACTTAGACAAGTGACCTGTCTCCATCCCTCATTACAAAACTCGAGCATCCCCAGTGGTGGTGGTCAAGGTCCTATGTAGTAACCATTTTATCTCTTCCCTAGAAATGCTCCTACCCCAGCCCACTGCTGTCCAGCCATCGGAACTCTGTTTAACACCAACACTCTTGAGTCCTTCAAAACTTCAGATAAGAAGTTACTTTTGGAAAAAGCAGCAGAGGAGGTCAGATATAAAGGAGGAATATGTGTTATACTTTCTTTAATTATTTCTTTAGCCTGGCATCTATTGAACTGTGAACTCGAGTGCAAAGGCCTGCCCTAGTGCTTTGTATATAGTAGGCATTCAGGAAGTGTTCGCTGACTTTATTTTGATGCATTACTCTTCAGTTATTCTTCTAGCTCCATCTCTAGTGTGGGGTGAGGTGGTGGGGGTAGAAGAGAGAGCTGAATGACCACCAGAGTCCTGATGCTCACCCTTGGGTACTCCAGAAATTGATGGGGAGGAAGTTGTCCAGTGAGACTTGTTCTTCTACAACCTGGGGCCCTTCTTAGGCTTTTGTACCAATATATAAGATATTTCGATTCTATACCTGGTTCAATTTGTCCCCAAAAGGGAGTGAGCTGAATTTCTCTTAAGAAAAAGGTATTCCTACTCTTTGCTGATAACCAGTTTCATGAGAAAAACTTGATGGATCTGTTTAGTGAAAAACAGATGGAAGCCTATTTTATTAATCTAGGAATTTTCCCCAAATAAGGAAAGACATGGGATCTGCCACCTTTTTCTGTTGAATGTTTGTTTCTTTTCTGAGTTGGGAAAGGTATAATAATAAACAATGGAGTCACATCATATAAGCATTTGATTTACTCAAATTCAACAGGATTCATCAAAGAAAGAGAGAAAAGTGATTTAAATCTGCCCACTGTTCTGTTGAATCAGTGTGTATCCTACAGTATACTCTGACAGATATATAGAAATCTCTAGATCTTCCTGATGGTGAAGGTAGGCATCTGTTGAGACCTGGAGCCTGCCTGATTATAAAGAGGGGAGGCATGTTTGAGGTACCACTTACCCTCCATTCCTCAGCCAGGTTATTTCTGTCCAGGCCTCCCTCCGTTATTGAGTAGATTATTGCAACATAGTAGAGGGCCTGGGCCAGGAGAGGCTCTGGAGTTGGACCTACACTGTCACAGACAGATGGCAGGTCTCTCCGTTTGCCTTAAAGTCAAGGTGGGGAGTCAGTGGAATGCTGGGGCTTGGCCGGTTATTTCTCTAGGATTTTTGCCTTCTATGATGCTGTTGCCCCAGTCCTTCAAGAAGAGCTTGTAAGTCCTTGAAGGTGGGGTGGTTTTTATCCCCCCTACCCCTCTTGCTGTAGTGGGTACTTAATAAGAGTGCTTGTGACTTTCTAAGCCAGTTCCTTAACTGAGCTATAAGGCAGATGCCGCAGTTGAGATGAATCTCCCTGGAGAAACCCCTGTCCCTGTTTGCTCTTTTGTTGGTTAGTTTGTATTTGACATAAGAGCCAAAAGCTCAGAGATACCTGCTTCTTCCTTGCCTTGACCCTTTCCTTTCTTCCCACAGATTTGGGAATCAATAAAATCAGGCGCTGCTCTCGAAAACCCTGTGCTCCTTAACAAGTTCCTGCTCTTGACTTTTTCTGTAAGTAAATGCATTTCCTACTGCTCTGGAGAAACAAAAAGTTGTTAGACACAACTTCAGAAATGGAGAATCTGATCTGGCACAGCTGAAGCTTTAGTGCCAAGGCATTTATGCCCTTGCTGGCCCTTCTTACTGATGGCACACCCTTGACTGGGCGCCCCCAAGAGGAGCTGGAGGAGTCATAAAATACACTTTATCAATTTCCTTTTATTTCGAGTTGGTGGGTGGCAAAGAAATCACTAGTTTGCACCTCAGCGGTGCTTTTGTGTCTTTCCTAACCCTTTTGTTGATGTAGTTACTCCGAGCTTGGTTGTCAAGCACTTCAACCCAGAAGAGAATGGAGCTCTTTTGCTTGGGCTCAGCCCATGACCAGGGGACTTGCTGGGTCAGGGAAAATAATACCTCGTGTTCTTCTGTTTTAAACATTTGGATTCAACAAGAAATAGTTCTTAGATGCACATTTGGATGGATAATTGGCCAGGGGAGTAATGTTAATGATACTTTTAAGAGGGAAATAAGTAGTATGGTGTAGTGAATAGAAAGTTGGCCTCAGATCAGGAAAACCTGGGTTCAAGTCCTGCCTCTCACACATTCTGGCTATGTGACCTAGCTATGTAAGTCACTTAACTTTTCAGCAACCCAGGCAAGTCTCTGACACTATACATAGTTGAGAAGGTGTGGATCTGCATTAGTTTGCTCATTTTTCCAGCTACTTTCCTGACTTTGGATTTTGTTAGTGCTGGGCTCTGTGTCCTTCTAGTGGGGGGATGTCTGGCCTGAGCTTCTGTCCTTGTGTACTCTTCTGCTGCTTTTTCCCAGCTCAGTCTGAGGGCCTTCAAGTTTTCATTTCTCCCAAAGCTTCCTGTGATCCAGGAAGAAATCTGTTCACTGCCTTCCTGGTTTGAGCACTCTTAAGTTCTTGACCCAGGTTTGGGTCTTTTGGCTTGGGTCTTTGGTAGGGTTTCAGCAGATCTCAGCTGGACCCAGCCACTGTGAGCCTGCTATAAAGTTCTGCAGATTCAGAGCAACCAAACTGCTGACTCCCCTTTGATCTGGGACACTGTGTCCTGCCTTGTTATTACACTGCTGGCTTATGTGCCAGACTGAAGGCTGGAGCTACCTCTGCTCTACTCCTGGACTCAGAAGCACATAACTATGTTTCTGGAACTTGATCTGTGGGGCCAGGGCCCCACTCTGCTCCTCTCCCCTCTGGGTCTCTGACTTGGAACAGAGTATGAACAACAGAACTGCCAGAAGCCCAGAGTTTTCTGAGGGGTTAACACCAGGGGTTTTGGCAGTGCTGTGGCTGTGGACGTTTTGAGGGGCTGGGAGCTGACAGCCCTCTGATCTGGATTTTGGGGAAGGGGAAACAGAGGGAAGTTCATTGCACTCTAACCTAGAATGCTCCAGGGGCATCTGAAGACTGCAGCACTATGATCCATGACTCCAGCAGTGCTTGAAAACTGCCAGCATTTGGTAGGCAGATGCTCAAAGGGAGGTGGAAGCCAACTGCAGCTGTCTTTGAAATAAAGGTCAAGGCCACACAGGGCTGACCACTCCATTTAAGAGTGTAGGAGGAAGTGAAACCTAGCCCTGGCTCCAAATCCCAAACCAGAAATGGAGGCTGTAGAAAATGTTTAATAGAGTAAAGAAATACTGTGGTCAAAAGATGCCCGAGACGCATAAGAGGAGAGTAGGTCCACAAGTACCATCAGAGCCTGAGCAACAATCCAGTGGCTTGGCTACAAGATCTGCAAGGGTCTCTGGATGAAATGAAGCAAGAAATTTAAAAAATGAAACCTGGGAAATAAATTCGTGGAGAGAATTGGAAGAAGAATAAATAACTTAGATCAGAAAGTAGAAAAATCTTTTCTAAGTAATAGACTCCTGAAAATTAGAATGGAGCAAATAGAACTCAGTGACTCCAAGTGAAAACAAGAAATATTAAAACAAAATCAAAAGATTGAAGAAAATATAGAAGAAAGTGTTAGGTATCTACTACCAAAAACAACTGACTTGAAAGATCATGTTGAGGAAAGATCACTTAAAGCTCACTAGACTCCTTGAAAACAGTGACCAAACGAAAAAGTCTGACTACTGTATTTGAATAAATCATAAAAGAAAACTTTCCAGATCTATTATTAGAGAACAAAATAAAAAGTGGGAAGAACCCACTGGTCATTTGAAAGAAACCCCAAATTGAAAACTCCCAGAAATATCATAGCCAGAAAGAAAGAATTCAACTACTATGGAACCATAGTTAGAATCACATAAAACTTGGCAGCAACTGCAATGAAGAAAAGTAAATCTTGGAAAATGATATTCCAAAAGACAAAAGATATGGTAGCAACTACACCAAAAGAGTAAATCTTGGAATATCACCACCCAGAAAAGTAGGTACATTTGAGCCACTGGAAAGGGCTAAACAATGATGAGGTGTTTATTATTCATAGGAGGAGAAGAGACAAGTAAACCCAGCAGATTAAGAATTGTAGAGGAAATAGGATCTGGAAGTGGGTCTGCAACACTTCCCCCCCAAAAAAAGAAACAAACACAAAAAAATGACTTACTATAGGATCATCGGAATTCAGTCAAAGGGTCGAGCTTAAGGACCTAGAGGGCCACATGTGGCCTTGAGGCCCCAGGTTCCCCGCCCCTGAATCTAGTCCAATCCACTTGTTACATATGAGGATACTTAGGCCTAGAGTGAGTAAGTGACTTTAGCCAGTGTCACATAGGTAGTAAGAGAGCTGAGGTTCAAACCCAGGTCTTTTGACACTCCTTCTGCTAAACAACAATCCCATCTTATTTTATATTGTAGTTATTTATACAAGAATCATATCCCCTTCCTATACTTTAAGTACCATGGGGCAGCAACTGTTGTCTTACCTAAACTTTTTAGCCCCCTTAGTTCCTAGCATGTTCTATACACATATTTGGTATAAGATAAATATTTGTCAAATTGAATTAATTTCAGCCTGAGGGTTCTAGAATATTTCTCAGTAAAGATTTTTTTTCTATTGAATTGGTTTTTCCCCTTTTGCAGAAGTATTCTGTTTTTTTGACTAGGTATCTTTCAGCATTGCTTTAACTGTTAACACTCTTAAGTTAACCTCTTCAGACATTAGTTCCTAAATGTTTAGTTTAACTGAATTGGGGTGTTGAACTATTTTTTGTTTGTTTGTGTTTTTTTTTTCATATATGGGACAGAATGTTAGGAAACTCAATCCTTGTGACTTTTGAAAATGACCAGATGAGGATCCCAGGACATTGTGAAATCACTGGTCTTAAGTTTTTAACTTTTCTTAAAATGGGAAGTATAGTGACACTTTTTTTTTTCTTGTTTGAAGCACATGACTTGCTATATTTAGTGGCATTTAAGTATTAGAAAGTAAATATTGAAAAGCCCTCAGAATTTTTGACATGTAGAAAACATAATCATATTATTAATATAAAAGTTTCTAAGTACCAGTATGATAATGCTGCTACATGAATCCTGAGAATGCTACAAATCCTCATTATTCCTCCGTATACTGTTTCCTTATTGGCTGTCAGTACCATCATTTTCAATTAACTGACTCATATGGTTTGCTAATGAATGATACTTCAGCTTATCTGACCAGTCATCATTATAAAACTCCTGAGTTGTCCTCGTTGTCATCATCATTGGCATCATCATCATCATCATCATCTTCCACAGCTTTATTTATGTCTGGAGAGAATAGTTTCTACATTATTCCCAACAAGCCTTTTTCTTTGTCTCTTGTTCCCATGGTTCTTGCATCTTTTCAAGCTGAATTTCCATTGAAATGGCATTAAGAAGATAACTCTTGGTGTCGGTAATTGGCACTTGTGCTGTTTCTTGTTTCAGCCCCTAAGGATTTGGGGGATATGGTGGTGAGCGGTGCTTGGGGGGATCCTGAAAGAGAAGCTCTGCAAGGAGAGGGTATGGTGAAGGAGGTGGTGCTGTGAAAACAAGCTTGGCAGAGGTGAATGGGAGCAGCTATTGATGGAAGATGGGACAATAAAATATGAATCTGGAGTGGGCGAACAAAAATTGTCCATGCTGCAGAAATCATGGAAGGCAGGCGGTGATGTTATAATATTCACTTATTTATACCGGGAAATTCTCATCATCTGTTGGTGCCAAAGTTCATAGGATTGTAGATTTAGAGCTTGAAGGGATCTTAGAGAATTGTGCTCCATCTCAAACTAGCAGTGGAGGCAGAGCTGGCTGCTGAGGTCTTTTGAAGGCCATGTGCCATAGTCTAGACAAGTATTCTAAACCTCTTGTGTGTCCTGTACCCCTTTGGCAATCTGGCGAAGCCTATGGAACCCCCCCCTAGGAATCATACCTAAAAGACAATACATAGGATTGCAAAGAAATCACTTATATTGAAATGTAGTTATTAAAATTTTTTTTTTAAATCACAAAACCCAACTTAAGTGCCCCCTAGTCCAGACTGATACTACTGTGCCTACTATGCTCCTTGGGAAGTTCCTAGTGGCTTTTGGGGAGAATGATTGCTAGCAGCAGGATAAGAATCAGTAATATCAGGGCATGAGACCTAGTATCTGGGAATATGGATACCTTGGAAGGTACTTACCTGTGGCCTGTATTTTGAGATGTCTTCTTGTCAAGTCTAAGCCCTTTGTCATATGCCATCACCTCCCACTCAGGGTGTCTCTGTTTCAGTTTTTCTAACCTCAGGAGTATACTTCTATTCCTTTTGTCTTGTGTATTCTGTAGCATTTGCTCTTACCAGAGGTCCGAGGAATGGGAGAACCATTAAAGAATAGAACTGCAGCCTGTGTCTTGTTATTAGTAAAGAATAGAACTTCAGTCTTGTCCCCCTGATGTTATAAGAATATTCAAGGGGAGATGGCTTATTAATCTGATTACAAATGCCATAACTGGATTGTGTTGTAGAACATTTGAATAGTTTCCTCCTGTTGATACCCCCTGACTCCCTGAAAGAGCTCAGAAAGGATTTTAAAAA